TTAAATCAGTTTTAAAAATAAAAAATAAACGTAATAAATTCTTTATTATGTTGAAGCGTAACTGTGTTAATGTTCATTCAAACACTTTCCACAAAAAGCACTGCAAAAGTCAGAACCGGCTAGCCGGATAGGTGATTTTGGAAATTTTTTTTAACGGTTTAGCTAAAGCCCACGCGTGCTTCGATCGTCCTGAATATTAAATGATAGCAATTTGTTTTGCAAAATTGTGAAATACTGCATTCTGTTGTCCGAGGTCTGTATGATAAAAACAGTGCCTCATAATACAGGATTTTTAGAGACATCTTTAATACTTGTCTTCCTGAATGAGAATGGTTGTCCCTGTATATGTTTCACCGAATTATTTTCTTTTTTAATCGCTGTGCCGATTGTTTTCAGTCGTTCAATGAGCAACGCTTCCCGGAGTACTACTCAAAATGCCGCGCGTTAAATCAGTTTTAAAAATAAAAAATAAACGTAATAAATTCTTTATTATGTTGAAGCGTAACTGTGTTAATGTTCATTCAAACACTTTCCACAAAAAGCACTGCAAAAGTCAGAACCGGCTAGCCGGATAGGTGATTTTGGAAATTTTTTTTAACGGTTTAGCTAAAGCCCACGCGTGCTTCGATCGTCCTGAATATTAAATGATAGCAATTTGTTTTGCAAAATTGTGAAATACTGCATTCTGTTGTCCGAGGTCTGTATGATAAAAACAGTGCCTCATAGTACTGTTTCACCTCAGATGTGAGGAATAAATGATATACAGCTATTTCGAGAAAGGTTGTCGGAAAAAGTGCACGCGACAATCCCGAAAGGAATTGTGGGTGGTTTTAAGTTCACTGTTCTTTAAAGAAATTTGAAAGAATTGCTACGAAAGGCCCGTCGAAATATGTTTGCGAGTGCTAAAGGAAAGCAACAAAAGTAGGTTCGACAGGTACAGTCGTCAGAAACAGCGTATTGATCATATCCCATATAACCTTTCGGGGTTGTCGCGTGCACATTTTTCCGACAACCTTTCTCGAAATAGCTGTATAAGGTTGGTTTACACGCACCCAGATTTTTTGGCAAGATTTTTTAGAGTAAACTTGTCGAACGAAATAAATTCGGCCGGAATTTTTTTCCACGCCTAATTAACCTACGGTGATCGAGAGCCATTATGGCTCTTAATAAATGTGATCGAAGACGATTGCCAGTTTTTGGGTGTACATATGAGGCTATCAACTCGATGTAAGATTTGGTTCACTCTTGGGCTGTTTACAAATTATTTTTCTCTAAAATCACTTAGCCTTTCCCTGAAAAGTCTCATGAATGTGCTCTAAAGTTAGTTGAATTGTGGAATACAAGTTTATTGTTTGATTTAAATTATAAATGTATTAATGGGAGCCTCGCTTTTAGCCTTGGCTAAATCTATATATTACAGTGGAATCTTTGTGGGGATTTGAAAGCAAATTTCTCAAGGTTTCATTCTATTCATGTGCAATACAATCTTAAGATTCATACCGCCACGGCAGTGAAAGAGAATTTGTTGTTGTTTATTTTTTAGACTGTCACACGAGATCATTCGAGTGCTATTTTCTGTAGACCTATAAAAATAGTCAGAACCGTCTTGGAGGGGGGTGAATAGGTTCGCGGATCGGCGGATTTGGCCTTAAAAAGCTCACGGATTGTGGATTTCGGCGATAAATCGAGCGGATTCGCGGATTTGAAAAATACCGTGGATCGCGGGTCAGCTGAAAGTTTTGGCCCGGTTTCCGGATTCTGTCAGTCTAGAAATTCGGATTGTGGATCGGATCATCAATTTTCGGTCGGCCTTGGTTAATGTGCTGGTGTTTTGTCGGCTAACGTTCCACTTCCGAGGTTTCCGGAAGAGACTTTCTCGTGACCCGACGCATATACATGTATTCTAGTATAGACAGCGTGACGGAAATGACGTCAGGCAACCTTGTGCATGGTTCCTACATGGTGACACATGGTTCAGGTAATGGCGGTAATGCTAAGTGACCTGACAAGATCTGCGAATGCGTTCGTGTAAATTGTCTAAATCGCAAAATGGAAACAAGAACTATCGAGTGTGTAGCCTTTTACCACGAAGGTGCCAAAGGCGATTACTTTATTCAAAAAAATAAGTTTCGATGCTGCGTCGATTCCAGTCATTGGGGAAGTGTGGTGAACACGGCTACGCGAGCACGTTCGGTAAGTTTTATATTTGGTTTATACATGAACTGATATAAATTATGCTCTTCGAAGCTATTTCAGCTAGTTTGCTTGTCTTGATCGTTAACTTAATAGACCTTTTCACGGTTTCTGTCGCCATATTGGTTGAGGGCAAACACGGCAAAATTTACAATAAATGTACGGTAAAAGTCGGGAGTTTGATGCTCTATAATTTGAGGAAAGTTAACATTCTGAAATTTCTATGATTTACAAACTAAAGATACTGGTAAAACAGTTAACCAACTGAAAGGCATCGGTTCGCTGAGAAGCGAGAAGTCTTACTTTTAGTTTTCATACAAATTCGTTTTCCCACTAACGGCAGCTCCATTTTACAGACAAATACCTTCTTGAAAATCGTCAAATTAGTTGTTTTACCGACAGGACATCAACCTTTCTTGTTTGGAGTTTCCACTCGCTTTGGGAGACAAGTTCGAATAAACAACAGACTCATTTCGTAAAAGGTAAAGCTTCGCGCCAAGTGGCCCATACTGCCGCACCTTATCCTGGTTTCCGTAGCATTAAGCAGCTTGGAATACTTCTACACTTCCCCCTGGATGGGATGCTAGTCCGTCGCAGGGTTACCCCCAGCATTATTTCGCCGGTACCCATTTATACACCTGGGTGGAGAGAGGCACTGTGAGAGTAAAGTGTCTTGCCCAAGAACACAACGCAGTGCCCCGGCCAGGGCTCGAACTCGGACCGTCCGATCCAGAGTCCAGCGCACTAACCATTAGCCCACAGCGCCTCCCACATTCATTTCGTAAGATGAGAGTTATTTTCCGTAATCACATCCGCTGGACTGTTATACTGGATTTTTGGGCCGTCACATTTAATGTTAGGATTGACAGCGACTCATGAACTATAAAAAGATCAAATTTACCAATTGATCGGTGAAATGATAAACTGTATTTTGCTCCCTATATTTAATGCTAAAATTGACGATCATTGAGTACAAAACAAACTACGAGTAAATGAAACTCTGTATTTGCACCGAAAAACAAATGTAGTTTGCCGTGGCTAACCCTTTTACCCGTCTGTTGCCAAGTGAAAAAGATTATGGTCTCAAGACTTCCAAGATTAACCATGGAAAATACTTACTGGTAAGCAAATTACCATGAAGTTGAGTTCTGCCTTTTCCGAATTTTGTGGCTCGACTAGAAGCATGTCCAAAGTGATGTCAGTAAGCAAATTTATTGAAAAATCTTTTACGCAATACCAGATACTTTCATTTTTCAAGCTTGCAGACTGTTTGATTAGTCAAATCTGTATTGTTGGAAGAAACATTATAAGCTCTGTCCTTAATGCTTACGGTGATTCCCTAGTAAAAGAACCTAACACAGATTGTAGATGAAACTTGGTACACTGACGTAACAAGTCAAGAAGATGATAAAAAGGTAATAAAAAGTGGGGGCCACCGTGCTCGTTTTGACGTCACAATGCTGACAAATACGGCTATTTTGGACCCTTTGACAAACGCCGCGCGCAGCCCAAAACTAGACAAAAAGGAAAGATTTTTTCAAAGATGCATGTAGTATCGCACAGAATTTGACTTTAATGTATTTTTTATCCACTTACGTACCAGAAAAATGCCTTTTAATGCCCTTGTTTTTACTTTACGCTCCAAAGTAGAATTAAATTAGACACGCCCTATTTGACACGTGATAGCTCAATCCGTACAATTTAGTAAAATTGCCAAAAAACTGAACATAGATTTGTGCCAATTTTTTTCGCACCGAAAGGAAGCCCTGTCCTTATTAAAATCATGAAATAAAAAATGGGGGTCACCTTACTCGTAGAGGTAGACGACGAACCACTTTGTGGATGCGCTACCTCCAACTCGTTATTTATTTATTTATTTTATTAACTTTCGAGGTTATGCTCTCGAAAAAACCCCTTATATAATCTTGAATTGCGCGAGGATTTCTCCCCTTCAAGTTAGATCGCTCAAGGTCACCCTATTCGTGGTCACGTGGGGATTTGATGGCCAGGAATTGAAATTTATTTTGTGCCGTTTTCGAGGGGGATTTTTTTAGTGCGATGCCGATGTTTGGCCAAATGGTGTTATACTGGTCAAATCACACTGAATCTTCGAACAAAAAAATGCAAATTAACAACCTTTATTTACATCCATTCTTGAGAAATTTACATTTTCAGACTTTAATTTCATGGATGAATGAACAAACACTTTTATGTTATTTTAGCAACTAATTTTTACCCGTTTAAGCTTATTCATTTATTCTGAATTAATTTCACAAATATAGTTGTTGACCTTTGACTCCCCTCACAATCTTACAACACGATAATCTAACCAACACAAAGTAATCAACAATAAACAGTGCAAACAGTTTATTCTTAGCTTTTTAGATTCCAGTCTCCATCAGGAACTAATCATATCATGATTGTACGTTTTACCTTTCACTAACCGAGTAAAGATCCGGCATAAGGGTCATAAGGAGAAGTGAAACTGTTATTTTCTTGGTTTTGCGGATGGTGTGATCACCGATAAATGACGTAGCACAAATGGTTAAAAGACATTGGCCAATATCCTCACCATAGCAGTAAATTACGCGAACCAATATATATGAGCTAATATGGCTTCAGGAACAGCAAGAAACCCAGGAAACCCTGTTGTCATTAGGCCTTGATTCCCACGTTGCTGTCAGGCTCTTTTTGATCTATCGCTTGCACCTACAAAGATGGACTTGAAAACTGCCTTCCACGATTAATCTAAGGTGTATTAACACATTGGTCTGATGGTTTTAGTTTTGGCTTACTGAGATTTAGCTTTACTGATCACGTCTGTTTGTCATCTCTGATTTTCCAGTTTCATTTTGATGACGATGTTTCAAAGGTTTGACAACTGCAGTTCCCCTTAACTTCAATCTTTTCTTGACATCATGAAATTTCTGGGCAAGTTGAGAAGTTTCCTTTGATTTGTTTTCCATCATAGAGCTGCATGAAAACAAGACAGTTGACATTGCTGCAAATCCCAAAACAACGCCAACAATCACCACCATGTAATCAGTAAACGTGTTTGCTTCATTGTCATCAAAAGCAACGAAGTCTCCAAAACCGATTGTACTAAAAGTGATAAAGCAGAAATAAAAGCCTTCAAATATGGTCCATCCGCGTCTCCAATGCGCTAAAAGGGAAAGGAAAAGGAGTGTTATGATCCACAAAAAGATGTTTATAGTGCACACGATTCCATTGCGGACTCTTTGTGTGCTACCAAGCCGTCTTTTGACACTATGAATCAATGACGTCATTAAGTCTCGTAACTTCTCTCCGATGGTCTTTAGTGTCAGGCACGTCAGCGGTATACCAAAGAAAGCGTAAAATATGCAAAAGAGACGACCATTTGTCGTTCGGGGAACAATATTGCCATAGCCTGCGAAAACAATAAGTAATGAATTAATTTTAAACAGTTCAAATTCAAAACTCCCTAAGTTACCGTGCGATCTACATGCAATTGTTTTGTTGTTGCTGTTTCTTTTTTCCATAATTTGCGATTTGTTTGAAGGTAAAAAGAGATAATCCCCTCTATGAGTCCAGTTTTCACGAGCAATATTTGAATCATCATTCGTACCAATTAAAATAGTATTAAAAGGAGCAACCTCATTTCTTAATGCGATATGAAAGTAAGTAGCTAGAACAAAATACCGTAAAATTCCGAAAATAAGTCCCTCCATGTATAAGCCCCTCCAAATATAGGTCCCCCCAAACTCGTAACGCAAAAACCCCTCCGTTAAATCACCCCTCCAAATATAAGCCCCCAGGGGGCTTTCACTTGGAAATTGCCCTCAAATACAAATTAAAACAAAGCAAAAACGATAAATTTCCTTCCAACTATAAGGCTAGCCTAATCGATTTTGAAACGCAAATTTCCCTCCATAGATAAGCCCCTCCGATTATAAGCCCCTCCAAAAATAAGCCCCTCAAAAATGGCCCTTGAAAAATATAAGCCCTGGGGCTTATTTTCGGAATTTTACGGTATTATATGTCAATCTTTATTTAGTGAAGATTCTTTAGATAAGCCTCGTTTTTCTGAATGAATGAAAACCAAAATGTAAGATATATGACTTCCAATACATACGGCGTTACATTGCTTCAGGAAAAAAATGAGACATCTTACTTATCATAGACCATTAAATTGGTAGAACTGAATGTCGAAGTGCTTTTCCTTAGTTAAAGATAAATTATAACAGCAATTTTCGGAAATCAGTGAAGAAAGATTTGAAGACTGAAGTTTATTACGCACTAAATATCCTTTGTAAAACTCGTAGCAAATTGAAGTCTATTTCACTGGATAAACAATAAACGATTTGGTATAACATAATCTTGCTTTGTACCATATACAAATGCATACATTTTTAAATCGCTTTTTCTTAACATTCAACTGTGAGTTTTTACATTCATACTACGGTCAACCAAAACCTTATATATGCACTACAATTTTCAGACTGCACAGTTTTAACGAAAGTGTAATTAAGTTATGCAGCAACAATTTCACTGAACATACAAATCAAAATGGATTGTGAAACATAAATAGATAGTCACCATAACCATAAAAGTATATATGTAAGAAAATTAAACTTAAACCTACCTACTGTCGTCACAACACTCCCTGCAAATATAAATGCGTTACCAAAGCTCCACATCAGGGGATTTGTGTTCAAACTTTGTTTTTCCTTCATTATACTTTCAAGGATTCCCCAATCGTCGTCAGTTATGTTGTACTTTCTATTGAACCTTTCACGTAGGCTCTTAATGAGGGTGTTCTCCTTGATCTCGTTTTCAATTTCAAAAGCCCTGAAGATTAGTGCTCCAAGTACGATATAAATTGAAAAAAGGCATGAAAATGCTACAAGTTTCTTCATCTTTTTACCGTAAGCGACTCGTCTAGGCTGACAACTACAGCTGCATTCGGAACAAAGTGATTTTAAAACAATGAGCGTGTTAAGATGGTATTGACACTTCTTTAAATTCACATTCATCCGTCGGCATAGCTTAAGGCTGACGCTGTTCAGGGTCAGAGTCATCTTTGAACAGGTTACGCGTCAAAAAATGTCAATTGAAGTTTAAGATTAAAAAGTGTGCCACCAATCCAGGGGAAGTATGTCATCCCAGTGCGCTAATCCAAACCGATTATCAAAAAACGCTGTTGTTTCAGATATATCGGTTCAATTCGACTGAAAAACCCACATATTTTCTTTTCAGGAAAAATATGGAAGCTACTAATCAATGTTGAGAAAAAGTGACAGGTCTTTTACAAGAGAATGCCCGAACAAATAAATGCACGATGTCCTATTTACTCAGATTCTATCCCATTACGAATTATTAAGGGGACAGGTTTTAACTTCAGGAGGACTAACTTTGAACTAAGAATCCCGCCGGTGTCTTTCCCAGGGAAAGGAAAATAGATCTATAAAAAAAGTAATAGATCGACCGAGGTGGCCTCAATAATAAGCAACAAGGATTGAGTGATAAGTTGAACTGTTTATGTTAATGAACTACTCGAGCAGTGTGAGTAATTAATTGTCAAAGTCCACGGGTGATTAACCGCTGTGATATGACAAGGATTTTTCATAGTCAACAACTTCTTTGTCACTGCCCCGGATTAGCCTTTGCGATGGCTTTGTTCAAAAATACTCAAGTCCGTTCCAAACGATAAGGAAGATTGTTATTCATTCAATATATTCCTCCGTTTCTGAAAAGCTTAAACCGTTCTGGCTAATTCTTCGTAAACAGCTTACACTTGACCAAATTTGGAAGATATCGATGTTTGCCGCTAATTAAAACAAAACACCATCCAAGCAGTTAAGTAAAGTAACTTTCCTATTATTAGTCATAAGTGGAATGGGCTTACGATTCATCCTGTGCATTGGCCTTTTAAATGAGTCAAGCTGGATATAAGCTAGGCCTACCAGCAACCAGAACTAGACTCGGAGTTGTGAAGGCTATGAACTACATTCAGGGTGTATTTCTAGATATTGCATTTTATTTCTAGATATTTCAGTTAATTTTGAATTATCCGAAAGACATGTCTTACAAGGACCAGTTGGTCAAACTTAACCTATTACCACTGGAGTATAGAACCGACCCTGCCCTTACTTTTAAAGCCAAAGGAGACCACGTGGATCTCAACCATCAAGACATTTTCCGGCAAACCGAGATACACCATCGCAGGCACAATGCATGCAAATTTAATTACCATATACCTTATACAAAACAAAACTGTTTAAAACACCATTTTTTATTATATGGGGTATAGGGTGATACTTATTAATGGGGACAGGGGCAAGGGTGGTTAAGGTTGAGTTGGGGGAGGGGGGGGGGGGGGAATCCGTCATTATGGTTTTATTCTATTTGGTTGTTGGGATAAGATATCAACTGGGACATTGTCCTGTCTCCTGCTCCAGTTGCAATATTTGTTTTTTCATTTATTTATTTTATTTTACTTTTTTCCCCATCTAACCTATTTTATATATATATGTTTTATGTACATATTAAATGATAACATGTAACGAATTCAATAAAGTTAAAAATACAATCCGACGCCTTTCTCCTGGAATTTCGTCGGGCCTGGCATTTTCCAGCGCACTTATGAAAATGAAATACGAGTTTCACTAAAAGCAGAAAAGAATGTCATTTTATTGAAGGAATGCTTCAGCCGTTCAAACCTCATTTACGTTATGAGAATTAGCTATTAAATTTCAATTTCCTACAGCGAATATTATTCCGTCATAACCCAAATTTTCTTTGCTTCAGCACGACAATTAATTTGGGGGTAGGCCCTACTAAAATAAAGGTGTAAATTTACAAGAATTCACATAAACCCCGCCACTAGTAAAATTTACAGGTAACTGAAAATACAGAAGAGAATTATCTAACCGAAGTAATAAAAATGGGTAAGCGATAGCTATTAAGACCCCTATTAACCGATTTTTGTTGTAAGTACAAATTAGATTAAGTCGTATAGCCATCAATATGACACCAGCCTCATAGATCCAGACACACCAGTCATGATCTCGTACTGATCTTCCCGACCTGGTCATGCATGTCCTGCCATAAACTACTTCAAAGTCACCTTCTTCGTCACTTCCATTATCTGAATCAGTCTCGTACTAATCTGGTTGCTGTATGTCCTGTATCTTGTTGTTGGCCTAAGTTTCAATCCATTTTCAATCCTTTCAATCCTTTACAACAGACGACGGGAAACAAAATCAATTCCAATATATACTCTTAAATAAAAAAACTGGACTATTATGTTTGGAATTCAGTTAATGTAAAAAAAAAGTTTTAGCTTTTTAAAAAGATAGCAAATAACATGATAAAGTACAGTGACGTTGGCGGTAAATTGAGTTGATTGGCTCCTTATAGAGCGTTGTCAAAAAGGGCGAAAGTTCTCTCTCCAGTCGCTCATCACAACTTCAACTTCTTTTGGCACTGTTTGTACCGATGGGAGAGACATAGTTGAAAGTGCTGACAGGGGCGTGAAAGTATTTGACACGGGACAATTCAGCACTAATTTAGGCGTTATCCTCTAATAAACCGAAGGAGGTGTGGCGTATTATCCATCGCATATATTAAAACCTAACCAGCAACCCTTGCGGCAGGATCCCGATATAGTTAAATTCATTCTTTGCTTGTACTGCCGAGAGAACTCTACCTGTTGGTAGTGACTTACCTTTCTGTCTTGAAGAACTAATTGAATCTCTACCTGATGATAGCCCTGCTAATTTCAAGCTCCGAGAAGTGTCCCACGGTGAGGTCCTGCGCGTGCTGGAATTGTTAAGATCTGACACGTCTACTGGCCCCGAGGGTATCCCTGTCAAATTCGTTAAAATGGTGGCTGATTCCATTGCTGGCCCCCTCACAACTATTATCAACAACTGTATCAGGAAATGCTATTTTCCTAAATGCGAGGATCAGTCCAATTCTTAAAGTAGATCATCCGAAGTCCGAGGAACACTTTTGTCCCATTTCATTTCTCCTCACACTATCAAAAGTCTTTGAGAAACTTGTCGCGCTGCAGATGAACACCTTTTGTGAATCTGAATCAGTACTCCGCGATACAATTTCTAGCTTTCGTAAGGGACACTCGACCATAACAGTGCTAATGGGTATGCGCGACGATTTGCTAAGAGCGATGGAAAAAGGTGAGGTTACTCTCATGGTGCTGGCCGATTTCTCCAAAGCGTTCGACACAGTCAACTACAAAGTTCTTATAACTAAGTTATCAATGCTTGGCTTCTCGAAGCCGTTTCTGCGCTGGTTGAATAGCTACTTGATTGACCGGTCACATTTCGTACAGATCGATGATTGTACATCTAAATCAGTGAACGTACGTTTCAGTGTGCCACAACGGTCGATCCTCGGCCCAATGTTATTTAATCTCTACGTTTCCGATCTGCAATCATCTCCCTTCCTCGATTGGTTCATTTCAATACGCTGACGATACTTCAATATACTCCAGCTGTCCAGCTCCTGAGCTACAAAGATGTGTGCAAGAACTAAACTCCACACTAAACACTGTGAGCATTTGGTCTAATGACTCCCATCTAGTACTTAACTCGATCGAAGGAGACAAAGACGATGTTGCTTTCCACAAATCAGATGTCATATGTACATAGTTTAGATAAGAACCGACCAGCTATTACAATCTCAGATAGTACATTAGAATATGTAAATGTAAGTAAGCTTCTTGGTGTCCATTTCCACCAGCATCGTAATTGGGATGAGCAAGCAACGTGCAAGAACTGTTACGGAACAATACAAATAATAAGAAAACTTAAGAGCTTTGCTGGTTATAGACTCAGAAAGCACTTAGTGGAGTCACTGGTGCTGTCAAAACTTGACTATTGTGACACTGTCTATTACCCTTTGCCGGAATTTCAACTAAAACGTTTACAACGTGTCCAGCTAGTAGCTGCTAGTTTTGTCCTGAATAGGTATGTAAATGACATTAACGATATTGTTAAGATAGGGTGGTTACCAGTAAGACAGCGAAGAGATTTCCACGTTCTCAAACTCGTTCACCAAGCTTTGTACTCCCCCAGCTGGCCGTCTTACG